GAATTAACCATTTCCTTTGGCATCATATTAGTTACAAAGAGGGCACTGTTTTAGAAAGAATGCTAAAAATACTCAGTTCCTTTTCTCACTTTGAACTGCTTTTCAGTGTAGTTTTCTTGCTCTACCTTTAACCAAATGAGTTCCAAAATAGTAGATTAAACTTCACTGGAACAGTCTCCTGTTCAATGTGGAATATGTTCAGAGTCATAGTTGCTAGACTAAGTTATGCAGAGCAGAATCTGAAGTGGGTTTTCACTTACGATGTTTATTAGCAAAACAGCTCTTTTGCTGGTAAAACAAAAAGGTACACTTTTGTTAAGATGGATGGATTCATTCCTTTAATTCTGTGTGAACTGCATCCGAAAATGTTTGTGATGTGTTTTGAATGTATTTGTGATCTGTGTTTAAATAAAGGAAGACAGATTCTTATCCAATATATAAACAATCTTTGTTATTTAATTAATTCTATTTGCTCTTTTAAAGCATAATTGTTGTGAGAATAAAGCCTTTGAGGAAAGATTAATATATATTTAGATCATTACAAAACAATCTTTTTCTTACATTATACCTAACTTGAAAAATAAAATTACAGAAAGAACTGAGTAATACCACTCTGAAAGCTTTTACTTTAAAAAGCCCTCAAAACTTTCCTTCAGTGTCTAAAGTAGAGCTTATACTGTATGCTAGAAGATCTTTTGGTCACAAAGGTCATACTTTTCATCAGTTAACTGTGCTGAAAGCACAGTTCTGTGTGCTCAGAACAGTTTTAAAGCCACAGAAAAGATGAGTAGGAAAAGGACTGAGCTGATACACACATACTCATCTCATGTCTGAGTTGGCCTTTTTTTCCAGGGTTTTCTCTTTATCTGGGTGTATTTTAACTATGCCATGCTGCAAGAGGTCACAATATAAATTATAAGAAGGATGTTTGCAATAGGAAATAGCATTTAATAGAGACATAGTTTATTTTCATGTCTCTGAGGATTTGTTTGTGGGATTTGTTTAGACATTAATATGCAGTATAAACTTAAACTCAAAACCAGCATAATGTGGAATGGGTAAGGTTATTACTTTTCTCTCTGCTTTAGAGGAGTTCATCAGAGAAATGTCTGAATATTAAATTTTTTCAGTTTTCTTAGTTATATATTTGTTTGTTTCTGTTCCGTGATTTTTCTGAGAATATTCTGGGATGATCTTTTGGATTATTTCGTTAACTGTAGATTTTATGAGACTGGAATCTTGGGAGATTTATAATGCACAATTACGTTTATTGATTAACAGAATTAATTTATCAAGAGCATTTCACATAGGGAGAAAAAGCCTTCTCTTGAAAAGTTAATTTAAACATAAATTCTGTAATGAATGTTCTCTCAGCCTCTATTATAAGAGGATGTTTTTCACACGAACTTTCAGTATTAGTAATTTTTACAAGTCCAATTTGGGCCATTGTTACTTTTACCATATAAATATCTATATAAGTCTAATCAGTTTGGAAGTGAACTCACCTAATTCCTGTGTGTTTTAGACTATTTAGAATTTGATCACTTCACACTAATGTGCTTATCTAGAGCAGAGGGTGGTTTTTGAGTGAAAGCAGGCAGTAAAACTGGGACCTTGGTTTTACAGATGTGTTTTGGACAGAGGACAACTACTTGGTTTCTGTCTTCTTTCCTCTTTAGTTGCAATTATACTGGCAAAGAATCTATTGCCCAAAGTGACCCAGGGGAACTAAGGATAGACTTTCACTGTTCAAATTGTACAGGAAACTATACAGTTTCAGACTCCCTCTCAAGGCAGGCAACTACACTGTTACTTAAAAGATACCAGTTCTCTGGAAGGCATTTACCTAAAGTCAGCACATGCTTGGACTCACATGAGAATTGTAGCAAGAGGATTACATGGACCATAAAGAGCTGTCCTGCTGTTAAACTGTGTCATTGTTAAAATGCTGATCCTCTGGGAAGAGCATCTATCATTTTGAGGCATTGAGGCATCCAACGTGGCATTTAGACACTAACATTAGGTTCTTCCAGTAATAATTTATTCTGTATACAAAATTCCATATAAAGGCGACCACTGAAGAATCAATGCAGACTAATAGGCAATACAGTAATTATAATGTTAATATTTTACATAGGGAAGATTACCTTCTCAAGATATACAGAGTTTTGAAGATGAAGACAGCAAAATGTTGTTAAGATTACTGAAGAGTTCAAGTAAATACCCTGAAACAATAAAAATGCTTCTCCATTAGTGATTCTGAAGCATCTTAAAGATAAGACAGTCTAGATTAACTGGGGTGCTGGTTTGTTTCAGGTTTGACCTTTGAAGTGATTTAATGACTTTTATACAAGCTCAGGCAAAGCGAGAGTCCCAACAGGTCACAGTGTTCTGTACACTTCATTTTTGGATGAAGTGGAATTGTCCTTCTGTGGTCCTGACCTCAGTTTCAATACCTCACTATAGTAGTTGAAAAGTTTGCACAGCCTGGATCATAGATAACCAAAGCAAGCACTGCTGAGGCTGTTAGTCACACCTGCACGGTGTCATTTAACATGCTTCATCAAGCATGGAACCACGTCAAGCCAATAGCTGTGCAAAATAGCTTTAAAAATCTACTGCATCATTTGGAAAGAAGGGGTGGATTTTCTCTTGCTCATGATTGGACCTTGTCTGGTGAGTGAGGAAGATTTGAACATATGTTGTTTGTTTATATTGTGTTTTGATTTGTTGGGGTTTTTATATATATGACTGCTCAGAATGTAGGAGCTGCTAAAGGAATGCTTGGTAACTGAAAACAGCTAACGGATAACATTAAAGACTAGTTTAGGGTAACCAATACGCGTGATCAGTGTGAACAAGGAGCATTAGCTCTATGGAGGACATGATATTTGGACCCAAGTGTGCTGTGGTCTATTTAGCGTTTACACCTTTAGCGAAGTAGTGAGAATTTCCTGCTTGTTTTGGAAGAAGGCTCTAATCACGGAAAACTCTTAAGTCCAAACCCATGCCAGCTGCTAGAATTCAGTAGAGCACTCCGGGTATCTTCGGCAGACACATCTGTGTCTTCCCTATGCTTGCAGCAGAACAGGTTTGCGCGGCCCTTTCTTGAGGCTTACCTGGGGATCCCTGTCTAACCATAAAGTTTTCACCTGACAAGCAACTTAATATAGAGCTGTACAGGAGTATTCACATACATAAATATACAGTCCAGAAGTACTTGGAGGTAATACATCTTTTCCTTAGGAGAACAAGAAAGTCAGTGATATTACTGATAAAGATTTTTTTTTTTAATTAAAGTTTGAAGATTTTTCTAAACAACCAACTGTTTTCTTCATGTGTTTTATGTAGCTTTTATCTTAGATTGTGTGTATGTGAACTGGCACAACACTAAAATGCTCAAACTAAAAATACCTTGATATAATAATTAGCTGTCTAAAGAAGAAAATATTTTTCTATCATGCAGACATTTTATTGGTCTTGAGTTTGTTGGGGGGGTTTATTTGAAGAATTGATATAACAGTTGTATGCAATAGTATGCGCATCCCTGTAGCAACTTGTTTTGTAACTGTATGAGTATGTAGTTAATAATATTGATAGAATTGGTGTTAGAGCTGAACGAATGTTTTAGCAAATAGCTTATTTCAAAAAAGGTAAGCTTTAGGTCTACCGTCTTTGAGTATTGGTTGAATTCAGAAAACGATTTCTGTTCTCTTTCCACTTCTGAAAAGAGATGGAAAAAAATATAAAAATCAAAGTAAGTTTTTAAAAATGAAGCATTTCAGAATTTATACAAGCTTTTTTTGAAATTATGAAGGTCACAGATTTTTTCATTCATGCACATAATTGAAAAATCCGTTGTACTTACGTGGGATTTCTCACAAGTACAAAATTATTCATATACAGAAACCTGCAGGAGCATGGTTTAACAATTAGTTGAGCTTGAAGCTTTTGTCATATTTAGAAATATCTACATATCTGAATGATTAAACATTTATGAGCAAATCTCCCGTGAAAGTCAAAACCACTAGGCTTTAGAAAGTGTACTGTAGGTGGAGTTGTGCAGGCTCTCTTGTGGAGCCGTGCCAGTACATGGGAATCTGAATCTGAAAAATCCTCTTTATTCACGTACTGGACTCCTCAAGAGTAAGCTTTTAGAGTGGCAAACGAAAGTGAGTTTTCAGAACTTCTTCCTCTTTGAAAACAAAGCTTGTTTCAAATCTAGTGTCTCACAGAGAAAATCCAGTGAGCTTAACTCTATGTTGTCTGGCATCTCTATACATGATAAACCATTCTCCCACGAAGCAGTAGCATTTTTCACTGTCATGTTCAACAGTTTTCTGATTTTTCTATCTTTTCTTTTTAAGATGTTTTCTTAAGTGTTCAGCTGAGGAGACCCATAACAAAGAGATAAATCCATAGATGATGAAAGGATTTTCCTGAGCTTAGTAGTTAACATAATAGTTTGAAAAGAATAAAATTTACAAGTACTTTTTCAAATGCACTATGTAGAGAGTGAATAAAATAAACAGCAAGATGTGTTGTGATAGGAACTCAGATGATCAAAGGGAACTGCTGAATAGACATAGTTATTCTTTCATATAAAATAAGGAAGTAATTCCTTTGAGAGTTTTTGTGATCATTTCTGTTGGAAAACTTTGTATGCATTACTCAGAAATTCAATGAAGAGAAAAGCAATGCAGCCTAGATAATAGGGTCAGCTTTGAGCATGAGGTGCCATGTGGACATAGCTTGGGCTGTTTCTCCAAATCATTTGAATGGAAATATTGGATTAGTTAACCTTGTGTCAGGTCTGTTAGTTAAATAAACCCTCCAACTGTTCCTGACTGAAGGATGCATAGTTGTGACTGAAAGATGCTGCTGCTTTTCATTAGAATTTTGTCAAACGTATCCTGCTAACATAATGTTTTTAAAATAAAATGGTTTATTCGATGGAAAAGGATAACAAGCAGAAAATTCACAGCCTTTTCTTTTCACAGGGTGTTTCAGCCCAGTAGGAAATCCTCTTAGCCGAACACTATTGGGTAGACTACAGACGGTAAGGAATTCTATCTTTGCATTTTTTTAAATTGATGTTTAACTGTAAAATGCCATTATTCACAAATTCTCATTGTAGAGAGGGTTTATTGGTTTTTTTTATCCTGTCTTTATTCAGGTATCTTCAAGCACATTTTCTACAAATAAGCTTTTGCAGCAGCCACCTGGTAGTGAGATCAGATATCTGCAAATTAAAAGCTTTCCATTTTTTCATTATTTACTTTTTGTTATTTAGAAATAAATAATTAAAATCACAGCCCTGTGTTTTTGATTATTACTAAGAATACAGGCACTGATAAGTAGGGAGAGAAAGCTGGGACAGTAAATTGAAACTGATTCCTGTTTGCAGCACCATGTTTCCCTTGTTTACTCATAGTTCACCTTTTTGTAACAAGTGAAATCACAACTATCCTCTGTTTGTTTAATTACTTATCTGTTAAATATTGGTTAGAAACTACTAGTAATGATATTTGTTCTTTTCTTAATTTCTGGTTTCCTGATCGTGATACATATATCCAACAGGATCTGTAAATGGCATTAATTACAACTAAACACTCAATAAACCTGGATTAAACACAAAACGCATGGAGAGGCTAGTGACGGAAGACCAAGTGGTGTTTCTGAATGCTGAATGTTATGTGTGGCTCTAGGAAGCTGGGCCTGTTGTACTGGAGATGTTAATCCTCCTGCGTCCATGGACAGAATACCGTGTCTGTCTTAATTGCATGCTAATTGCATTTTTAATGCGATTTTTAATTGTAATTTTAATCTCATGCATATTTGCTCTTAATTGCATGCTAATTGTGACATTTCAGAGAAATTTTAAAAATGGACATATATTAACTTAGATCATTTATAGGTTTGGGGTTTTGTTTTGAGTTGGTTTAGGGGATTTTTGGACCTACCTCATTTAACAGAATCTGTTAATAGGATTGTGGAAAGATCATAAGATACACAGGATTCACCAAGAAATTCTGTATGGTTTTACATTGCTCTTTTGTCAGTGGCTAAATGGTTCTTGTTTTCACATTTTCACATTTTCAATTCTTTTAGTCACTGATAGGTAATTTTTAGGAATAAGTATAAATTGTTTGATCAGTATTTCAGTGTTCTCCATCACAGCAGGCTCTATAAAAATTTACAGGTTCAACTGTTTTGGAAAATAGTAAACAGCAGCTAATTAAAAACATTTTTTTTTCTGAGAGGGTTAATTTAAGGTTTTGAATATTTTTGTTCATTTTTCTGTTATAAATGCAGGTGAACTTAGTAACTTACATTAAGAAAGTAGCACATTAGTAACTTACATCAAGTTAGTAACTTACATCAAGAAAGTAGCACGTTTACAAATGATGAAATAGTTGAAGAGGTTTTGAATAAATTCAGGAGTTGGAGTATTTCATGTGCTTAAAATTTGATCTTTTTTCCCTTTTTTTCTTTTCTTTCCTTTTTTTTTTTTTTTTTTTATCCCTGTAGGCTTTACTGCAGCAGCTGTGTTTGCATTTCTGATTTCTGTTTGTGCATTGCAGGTTTCAATAAAGTGCAGCCTGGCACAGTTTTGGTTTTTTTTTCCTCTAGGCAGGTTATAGATTCCCATACTCATTAAATATTGAAGGGCTGTAATCAAATAAGGATTGTAGTCATCTGAAGTCTAAGGAAGTAGTGTGTCTACAGACAGATTAATTAAGACCCAAGAAGAGTACATTATTCTTAGCAATTAATACTTTCAGAATCATTTTAATTTAGCTATTAATACTGTCCTAGTACTTCATTTTCCCGTAAAATCTGTACACTTATGTGTCCTGAACTAGAACTGTGTTGACAGTTAATTGGACTAGAGAACAAGAACAGAAATGTGACATTGCTAGCGATATTCAATTATATTATGCTGAGTCTCAGCTTATTTAGCATTTCATTTAAAATTTCAATTGCCAGGATAAAGAGATGGCGTGACATTCCTAGGGAAGGAGAGGATTAAGGGTTCATAAGGAAAAATGAAAACAATGGAGCAACTGTAAAATCTCAGACTGATTCTGTAAAATTTTTAAATGTTTTAAATATTAAGTCACTTTTAAGCCAGTCGTAGGTTTTCTGAGCACTGTAAGTTCATTTCTTATTTTGTCTCCTTTAAAAAACACAAGCAAACAAAAAACCCACGACAAACAAACAAACAAAATGGTAAGAGTCTCAGAAACCAGGCTATTACACACTGAGAGACAGATTTACTGGAACCTTAACACTGATTCCTTGTGTCTTTACTGTAGTGTTTGTACAAGTAACACTCCCAGTTTCTCTCTCATTCTGGCAGAGAGCAGGTATAGGCAGGTGGAGCAGAGAGAAGCTGTGGCCCTGTGTGGCATCTGAGAAGCAGATGTTTGCCCTTCTTTGTGTCAACGACTCTGGCACGCTAACGGGAAAAGGAGGGAGGGTGGCTTTGCCTCTGTGTGCCTGGACTTTGGGGGTTCACGCCGGTATGTGTAGTGTCTGCCTAAGACTAATCTTAGAAAAACTTAATTTCCAAGTGTAGCTATTAAGAGTTAATGACTAATTAGAAGTGGAACTTTTTCTGGGTGTTTATTCTGTTAAAATGAAGAATGAATTTGCATATGAGGAAGAAACATGAAACCACCAATAGATTTTACATTTTTCCATAGTTTTTCTTTAAACGTTGATATTGTGGTACTTGAAATATATTTGTTCAGCAACAGAATTTTTTTACAGAAAAGGCAGTAATAACCTATCAATTATTCTTGCTCACTGCTGCTTCTCCTAAGGAAATTAATGCTATCTAATACTCAAATCCTGTCAGCTTCTATATATCAGCATGAATAAAAGCAAACCCTTCATTACTAAAATAACCCAAACTGCCCAATTAAAAAGAAGCCATAAACATTTTAATTGGTGCTATTATCAGGAATCAGTGACACTTTATACAACAACTTTTCCATCAGTTTACTCTTATTAGCAATGCTCTCTTTTGTATTAGTGTCTTAAAACATTTTTTGTTTGGCTTAGTGCTAGAAATGTCTAGAAAAGGCTATCTAAGTGGGATAATCATGGATAACCAGTGTGATATTCCATGATCTAGAACTCTGCATCAACTCTTCTTCTGAGGGTGTTCCTTACACTGAAAGCTCCTAACAGCTTTGTGCAGCCAAAAATCAGCGTGACACGGCAGGCTTTTTCAGCAAGCTCCTGTTTCTCACAGATGGTCAGCCTCCCAGAAAGACCAGCTCCTCAGAGCATAACTATAGCCCCATGTCTGTTCTGCTGAGAAGAAAAAAAAAAAAAGAGAGAGACATTAATACTGCATTAAGAACGATGTATTCATAGGCTTCAGTCTGCCTGTTGTTTTTTTGGTATCCTGAAAACGTGGCTTAATCTTGTGACACATCATCAGAAAATTGCTGTTTCCAAACGGAAAGGCCGGTAGTTTTTGCTGGGTGTTGCTTCCAGCGTAGCTGGTGGTTGGCACAGCTTGAGAAATGGCAGCAGTCATGTCTGTGGCAAGGAGCCGTGGCAATTCCTCCTTCCTACTGGAGGTTGGAGGGGGGGGCGTGTGCAGCCTGGAACATATTTGGCATATCTCTTTGAGAGGAAACTTTGGATTGTTGTTGCCTTAAAAGTTTAACAGTGTCTGAGAACATTCAACATAGTCTCAGGGTGACTCATGGATTTTAGCTTGTTATTTCCAAACAGCTCGCTCTCTTCAAGCTCTTCTTACGTCGAGTGTTTTAGAGCGCATAAATACTTCATTAAAAAGAGAGACAGATTGAGACACAATCATGGGGCAATATGAGTACCTGAACTAGATACCTAAATAATACTGCTAATAATTCTGATGAATCATTTTTGAGCAACAGGAGGCACTCCCATCCCACAGGCTAAGCACATTGCCTGCACAGTTCCCTTAACCTTGAGAATGGAAAATGAGAATTAGCTGAAACCTGTAAGGCAGTGCAAACTACCAGTAGACCACTGAGCAAGCCGTGTACTCTCCACTGCAGCTCCATCGCTCTTTGTTCAAAATTTGCTTATCAAATCAGGCAGTTACCCTCCCCGCCTGCCCCCCCCTCCGTATGTGTACGTAATTATTCAGAACTCTCTAGGTGGTAGGCTTAGATGTTCTGGTAGATGATAAGAACTGAGTGCAACTCTTCACTTTTATACCGTGTTCATCTGTATGTGCCACTTGTGTCTGCTACTGTGGTAATACCGAAACAATCTGGAGACTGGATGGAACTTCTCTGTTCAGGATAGTAAGTGATTTCGTTCCCATGTGGGGTAAGCCTAGCTAAGTTAGGAAAACAACACTGAGGGCAGAGAATGCCATTTATTCTGCTGAGGATTGCAGTACTAATGTTCCTTGTATGACCCTAATTAAAAATAAATAAATAAAAGGAGAAATATATTTTAGATACATGTTTTTAAAAAGGAGGAGAAGAAGAAGAAGGTCATGGAAAAAAGACACTTAAAGGAGAGGCTGTAAAATATGAAAAATGTGAAATATGTTGGATAAAAATTCTGAAATTTAGATGTTGTTTATAATGTCATACAACCTGCTATGGGTGGAAATGTTTTCTCTGCAAAGCTCACATTTGATTATTCTCTTCTAAAATATTTTAATTGCTGTGTAATATTTCTGTTCTGCATTGTCATTTTTATCCTTTGACACACACAAAATCCAGGGGCAAACTGGTTTCCCCTTTGTGAATGTAGGTCATTGAAAAAAATTAAGTAACACCAGCAAAGGACTTGCATCTTCCTTTGTTCTATTTTGTTGTTCCTCTGCAAATTTTAATATTTTTTCTATTTAAAATCTTCTTTCAACTGAAGAATTCTATTGTTTGACAAAAATCAAATTTGCTAGGTACAGGCACATAGCAGTTATTGCATTGTATACTTGCTATTCCTTTGACATTGTTGGAAGTCTGAAGAGTAGGCAGTAAAGACAGAACTATTAGAATTAAATGGAAAGTGTTAGTTATTAAGATCAATCTGAAATTCTCCATTATATGCAAGTGCCACCTTTTTACATACTGATTCAGAGGTAAAGTTGACTGCAACAACTTCTTAAACATCTACCGTAGTGTTTGCGATGCAAACAAGCTTAGACTGCACAGTCATCAGTCCTCTGTCTTCCCCCTTGTTGCCTTTAGTGTATGTACTTGAAAAGCTTCATATCTTTATCTGAATATCTACATAGCCAATATTACTCAGTGTTGCTTAACATCACTTCTGCTTTTTCTTTTTTTAAAAAAGCATTTTATTTCAGATAATTCCTACTGTTCTCGAGTAGACATGAAAATGCTCAAAATTGTAGTTTATTAAAATACTTCAAATGAAAGTTTAAAATTATTTCTTTTTCTAGAATGATGACTGCCTGACTGCCCTGGGAGCGAAAGGAGGAGGAAGTTGTCCACTCGAGCAAGAGACAGTAAGTATTATGTAATTTTTTGCAGTGTCTTCTATACCTGTTTCACTGCATCTGTGCTTTTGAAAACACATTCTTTCTTCTCTTTCTTTTAGCATGTCCCAATTACTCTTTTTTTACTAGTCTAGATTTTGTAGTTCTTATACACATGTTCATAACTGGCATAACCACATTTTTGCTGTTTTTATATCACTCATAAAAAATAATTTTGTAAAATTTTGATGAATATAGGCTTTTTTGCATGCACTTGGACCCAGACAAAACTTAACACATATTTGAATGTCACATCAGAAGCAATTCTCTTGCTTTGGGCATAATCATGAATGTTTTACCTTCTTCGTTGGTCCTGAAGTGCAATTTTCTGCATCCCCTTTTCGTCATTTTCTGATCATGTGTCTCCAGAAAATATAATTACAATTTCCACATTTCATTTAAATTGTCAAGCTTGCTAAATCAGTTCTATTACAAGATACATGGGTGTTTTGATTTTTTTTTTTTTATTTCTGGGAGACAAACAGTGGGACTTTCTTGATTGGTTTGAACTTTTTGTTGGCCATGTTTCAATGTTACAGAATTTTTGTAAATTTTTTCCAAAACCAAAGCACTTACACCAGAGCTATCTTACAAAAGACACTGCAAAAAGTATTTGTTGCTCTATCTTTCACTTTTTTTCATACTGCTAGGTCATTGGTGTTACGTTCCAGGGGGCGGCGAGGGGAGTGTGTTTTGAGTTTGTTTTTTTTTTACCTTAAGTAACCTTATGATTTGCATAGCAATATTGCTAAGGAAACCGTTCCCCCTTAACTGAAGCGGGCACTGTCAGAGCACCCCTTACTGGACGTGGGAGCCTCCAGTTCTTTACTGTTTCTCTACCGTACTCATGAGTGCATTTTAGTTGGATTCTGTTCTATAGTTCATATTTCTATATTGTCAACATCACCTGTAATTACCATATTAGCTTTCCTAATGCAGAGAGGAGAGTTATGATAAAGGATATTTCACTATTTAGGTTCTTTATGTAAACTCAGGCTTACTGAATGCATATTTAGATAAATTTCCCATCTGCTGAGAACTTTGCTGTTAATAATTTTTTGGTGCTCACCAGCTCACAAATTAGCACATATAATTTACAATGGTAGAATCATTTCCATCCTTTCCCACTCATAACTGATTTAATCTGTTTAAGGGGTGATATGGAATTATGAAAATGCAAGTGACTTTGGCTATAATTTTATACACATAGCTCACAGATTACTCGAAGTAGAAATAAAAATATAAAAAGCACTGCACAGTTCAGCAGTCTTAGGATTTAAATGCATTCATGAGTTATAAAGGAAGGTTTTTCACAGAATCACGGAATGTTAGGGGTTGGAAGGGACCTCGAAAGATCATCTAGTCTTTTTCTCCAATACCTTATCTTCATAATAACTTTGCTGTCTCCTACAATCCCCTATAACATCCTATCACTCCTATCAATCCCTGTTTCTGACCTTTTCCCTTAAGAATTTCGTAGAGGGATTTGAGGTAAAGATTATATGTAGGGAAGCAGTGTTCTTTATGTAAAATAGGTCATAATTTTGCTCCCCTCAGAATAAGGGAAGTAAGCATTTCCCTTATTCTTTCAGTTCACTTGTTTTCAGTCTTTTCTGCTCCAAATTCATCAGGACAGTTTTTTTTTCATAGGGCATGGAACATAAATAAGAAATTATACTTCTTATTTTCATATTCAGGGAGTAAATAAGCTTCTGGTAAAGTACTCTGTGTAGTATGCATGGTGCTGATCACTTTTAGTGCTTCGTTCAGAGAAGTATAAATGCGCTGTATTACACTGGCAAGTGGATTTATTACATGAAAGAATATAAACATTTCTTACATAGTGTATGCAAATCTATTTCTCAGAAAGAAAAAAGTGGAGTGATCAAAGGAAAACTTTGCAATGATATTTTTGTACTAAATTTTTCCTTCTGTGACGCTGTCCTACTGTTGAAGTATTTATTCGAACACATATGCTTCATGAGCACACACAGAATAGGATCTGAAGGTGGTGTAACAATTCTGAGAAAGTGAATGTATGAAGTGGTTGGTTTTTTTTTTTCCTTTTGCTTCACAAGTAGATTGCTTATAAAACTAACAGCTGCTATTTTGAAGCTAATCTTAGTGAATTGAATGTTCTTAACCATTTCTGCAATCCCACAGTCCTTTATCTTGCCTCTCCTGCTGCTTTCCCACCACCCCTGATCCCATTAGCAAAACTTGAGACAGCCTCAGCTTTTACCAAAGTGCAGCTTTGGTTTCAGCTGCTTTTCTTCAAGAGGAAGTGAATGTTGCGCTTTTTTCTCTGTGGCATGGTTGTGATAAAGCTGTGGTGCTCTTATCTCTCTTTTAGGTAGTGGCTCTTTATGACTACACAGCGCATCGATCAGATGAGCTAACCATCCATCGCAGTGACATTATCCAAGTGTTATACAAAGATAATGATAACTGGTGGTTTGGCAGCCTAGCAAATGGACAGCGAGGCTATTTTCCAGCTAATTATGTGGCTGGTGAGAGTAAGTATACTGCTGTCTTCCTGGCATACCGGTGTGGGTTTAACTGATGGTCCAAGGTTTTACCATGCTGTGTGCTGTTTGTTGTTCGGAAGATAGGAACTTGTGTAGCACACAGATGGCATAATGATGACTTATTGTGATGCAGAAATGGTATCAAGTTAGCTAACCGCGTAGCAACTTGACGTACCTGACCTAGCAAGCTATTGACACTTAGTTAAACGTTCCAGCTTATGTAGTACTGGCTTAATTATCAGTCAGCTGTATTGATTCTTTGTCTCTCCCTGCATATAGCCACCTGGTTCATGCCCTAGCTTTACAATGTTTTAGGATACATCAAAGCATTTCACAAACATCTTACATTTTTCTTAGGCAATCTCTGTTAGATCTAACCAGTTACTTCCGTTAAAACTCGCAATTTTCCCCCTACTCTAATGAAGAATACTCAGTTCCCAAATAAATGAATTTCACTATGAAGCTTTTAAAGATTATTAATGGTTAAGTCTCATATCTGAGCATTGGACTTGCTACCAGACCCTTGTATTAAAGCAGTTCTCATTAAACTAATGCAGGCAAACCTACTTGGGAATTTTAACAAAAAATATAGAAAGCATCCTCCTCAGCCAACTGATACAAAGATGCTCAGTGTCCTGACAATTGTGAGCATTCAGCTTGTGGACATAGTGTGTGGTTTCATGCTACAAGAAATTTGCATTCCTAAGCTATCAAATTATCTGTTACACTGGCGTTTACAAATCTTTAGCCAACATTCCTCAAGATGTTTTCCTCCATTTTCTAGTTCCTCATTCTTTCAAGTGAAGTCTAAAATGTATTCCTTTCTCCTAAAAACACCTTGAACATGGCATTGTGCTAACCTGATGATGGTAATTAAAATTAACATAAGTACTGCTCTTCTCCTTTGTCCTCCCCTTGGACATCCTGTACATTTTCTCCTTCCTTTCTTCTTTGCAAAAGAAGCCCAAGAGCAGTCTGTCTGAAAAGTCTTCAGCAATGGCCTGGTAAAAAAACACAGAACAAAATTTTGAGGCGGTTGTCCAACTGTGTAAAGAAAACCCCAAAACCTGGTATATAATTTGTTATTTCAGTTAGTGGCCACCTTATTATTGAAGGAAAAGAAAAGCATACGATACTTTCGTTCAGTATCAGCCGCCTTGCTGCCAGTATGAACTTTGTTCTAAGTGAAGTAAATGTTTGATTGGCTTTTTTTTACACAATTACTTATATAAATTACCTATATAAAAATCAAATTTAAATCTAAGCTTGCTAATATAACTAAAAGTTAATGGATAAATTTCGATAAATTCTTATACAGTTTGGCTTTAAGCATTTTTCACGTTTCAGTTCACATCCCGCTTTTGGCTACATTCTAATGTCATGGTTCACATAAAATAGATACTTTAATAATTTTTTCATGACTTCCTTAATGGTGAATTATGGATCCTGTTTTCAGAAGAATATGAAGAACAGCCTTCAGGATTAGTACCAGATTCTGCTCCTCTCCTGCCTGAAGGACCAACAGAATCAGAGGAAGGTTTTCCAACACCACATAAGGTACTAATTTGAGATGGAAGGATTCTGTAAGTAGTGGTGGCATATGTCTTTTGTGTGCCAGTATACAGTATTAATTTTCCTTCCTGTTTTGGAAATATGTCTTATGTGTAGACCTCATTCCAGGGAAATAGGTAGATTTTCAGATGTCTAACATTTATCTCTTGTGGAACCAGCTGTTCCATCTTGTGCCAGTTAAATATTCTGCCTACTTTTGCACCTTTGTAATGAGTAGCAAATCTCCCATTGACTTCAAGGTTGACAAAAGTATCTCTTGCAGCTACTTGATCTAAATAATGGTTGAAGAAACAACGTGGAATTCTCATGAAACCTGACATACTTTCATTCTTGGAATATGCGCTGCCCACAGGATCTTCGCATTTTGTGCAATGAAATTTCCTTACCTGTCAGATTTCGTAGGAAAAAGCTTTAATGTTTTTCTCTTGAGAGTATTCAGTCCATATAATAATATCCTAATTAAAGATATACAATGTATATAGCCTTGGCTATATCTGATACCTCTCTGCTCCCAGCATATACTTATATTTAGTTTCTATTGTATATGGCATTATGTTGTTTACATATCATTATACTGTACACAGAAGAATTCCTGTTTCTGGGACTTTTAGTCAGCAGTCATAATATGGTATGCACAGAGGAACACAGAAACAGCTGCCAGTTTTTATTCAAGGAAGAGATAGGGGTTTGATTTTTATTTTATTTTTTTCAGATCTTTAGAGTTACTGCTAGGTACAGAGCAGGCCAAGTGACTCTCACTTCTTCAGATAGAGATTAGAAACTTTGTCTAGCTTATGTTCCCCTTCTGTGAAGGGAGACCAATGATTGTCTTAAAACATGGGATACTTTGTAAGTGGGGAAAAAATAAAGTGGTAGAAATTAGTTCAATAACTGTTAGAATTTAAGAATTTTTGTATTCCAAAATATTTTTATCCTTCTTAAGTGCTCTTTCCACAGCTAATTATTTAGTTAAATGGTACAAACGTAACTACTTTAAAAGTGACTTTTGTTCGTATTTCTTCCAAATGACCTGACTTTTCCATGTACTTTTCTAAAATTGAGTCTAATATTTTGTGTCTGATTTGCAAGACTCAAAATGTATGCTGTGTTGTGTAGTTACGATATTTTCTTTTTTTAGATGGTATATTTCATCTTTGCTGTAAAATATATATTGTGATAGTCAAGGTTAAAATACTCAAAGCTACTTCTCTTAGCCTTTTTGTGTAGCTTTTGTTTTTAATAGGTGAATATAAAGAGATAGAATTTAATAAATTATTGAGTACAGATTACTCGCTTGGCAGTCATGTTGAAACCAGCTGCCTTGTTGAAACCAACTGCTATAAATTGAATTACTAAGTGTTTTGTTTCTAACTGTGCTTGAACCATACTTGAATAACAGAATCAATCAGTACACTAAGTAGTATTAATTAATCTGAAATATCTTTTACCACTCTGTAGCTGAGAAACTCGTATCCAAACCATTGTTCAGGAAAAACAAGGGTGCATTACTTCCAGATACAGAAAGACTGGAACAAATATAGGAAAAATTACAACATTACTGGAAAGAAGATTTTTTTCATCTGTTGTCTATATTGCTGGAGGCAAGGAGGATATCCCAGGGGAATATGTTGCTATACTCACACAGTTTCACTCATACACAGACTAGAAAATGGAGAAGTGCCAAGATATTTATTGTCATTGAAGACTTGATAATTTTTATCCGCTTTTCTTTTGTATTTTAATCTAGTAGGAATCTAGTTGATTTACTGGATCCAAATGCTTTTATACTAACTAGTGTTACTAACAAAACATTTACAAACAATATTTATTATTCAACTTTGTGAGAAGTGACTTTTGATTAGTTTGATTCGTTGTATTTTCTGTATGTTTGGCATGTTTATCTAACAATAGTTTTTGTAACACTCAGTTTTAGTAATATTTCATCAAAATGTTCTTTACTTTGATTCTACTGGCACTTTGAATTAAATGGACTGCATATTTATTAGTTGGAACTTTGTACTAGTCTGTGTAGTACATACAGATATTCAAAAGATGAAATGAAAAAAGTGTACAGTAACAGTCCAAACCCAAGCACATATGTTACTTTTTATCTTGAACAGCATCCAAGGACACTACAAAGTCATAAAGATTCCAGAGAAAAGTAACGAATCATTTACAAGTCATGGAAAAAATGGTAGAAGAGGATGTACTTACCAGATTAAACTACCAAAGAATGAGTGGTGAAGAGAGTGTAGAAAATAGTACATGATGTAGAGAAGTGAATTGGATGAACTTCCATCTTTTCTCTTTTTTTTCCCCTTCTGCTGTTAAACAAGATCAGGGAACATAAAGCTGGAATGGAACACATCTAATAGCGGTAGAAGGAAATTTTTGTTTATGCCATGCTTAGTTAACCTGGTGAACCTTGCTACTACAAGACACTATTAAAAGTGTGCACGCAGGGATTATTTTTTTAAAAACACATTTTATAGTGTGGTAATGGCTGAGGTTCAAAAAGCATCTAAATGACTGAGCAACACAAATCTGGCTGACTTTTTTTATTAGTAGTAGTAGTAGTATTTCAAGTTACATAAGCAAGTTGAATCAAATGATGAATCAAATTTCTGTCTAGGATCTGCAATGCCTTGAAGTGTAATAGTTTTAGAAAAGCTCTATTGAAGAAAAAAGTTGTTCTTCAGCTGTTTGTCATCATGAAGGAAAATTCTGCAGTACTTCGGCTTTAGGCAATAGCAGATGCTTTGAGACAAAACTGCTAAGACGACCACTGAGGGGGCTCATCGGTTATGGCAGTTCCTGTGTTGCAGCAGTGACACAGCAACTTGTCTTCCTATTCCTTTCATATTTTTTCACTATAAGAGCTGATGAAAGGAAAGCCACTTTGTTTTACATGGGAAATAAGAAAAATCATTATTTTGTAATACCCTGTGGGGTTGGGTTTTTTTACTTTGACAGTAAATTAAACTTTTTCTTTAATCCAAAAATTCTTATTAAATAGTTGTTACTCAGGATGTTACCACAAGCAACTGAATTTTTTTGTTGTGTTTGGTTTTTGGCCACAAGCATATTTTCCCAAATACTCAGTTATAAGTGTTAGTATAAGTTAGTATAAGTATTTTCCCAAATACTTAGTTATATCCAAGTCTGCTATATCTGTTGTTCTTTCTGGCATTTTCTTTGAGGAATACTTAAATATTTAGCTCTGTTAGACTGAAAAACACAGTTATTGTGCAAATCATCATACCAGTTACTCATGAGATTTTGCTGCCATACAAGACTAAATAGGGCACTTAAAATGAAGACTACTACTATGGTTTTAATTACTGAGAATATCAGATAGTCTAATTAAAAATAGTTTTCCAACTGCAGATATTATAGACGCATATCTAGCTAATCGTCAGAATGTAATGATGACTGAATAAAATGGAATCATTAACATTAGAAGAAGATGTAATACTCAAGATCCAATATTAATCTTTGCAAATAATTAAAAAAAGGTTGTAGTTCAAAGAACTTGCTTTCAAAATGCTTTTTACCATCAGTTTTGCATTCATAGCATAATAATTTTATGCAAACCTTGTTTTCCTGCCTTATGAGTTACTTAACTTGTGAGCCACAAAATTAGGTCATAATCATCTTTAATTACAACATACATCTAAACTGCCAATAGAGATTTCATGGAGTGAAGTTCTCACTGCGCTGACGAAGAATCCCAAGAAATAGAGACAGACCTGTCGTCTGGCTGCTTCAGTAAAGGCGCTGTTTTCAGGTTCTTGAAGATGAAGGCAGAAAAGATAGGAGTTCAGATAGAGTTCTGTTAGAAACCAAAACTGAGGGTTTGCAAAATTTTTGCAAATCAGAGACATTTCCAAGTCAATAGAGCGGGGGTTTTTTGGCCAGAAATGTTCTACTATCTATAAAATCTTGTGAATATGTTTAATAATTTAAGATGTCGTACCACTCGCTACATAAAATGCATCTAGTTGCATTCTGAATGTTACCTGCTCAAGTCTACATTATGTGGGAGTAGTGATGGACAAAAGCAAAATAGTAATTTAAAATCTCCATTAAAAATATTCTTTCTAGTATATTTATCTTTGAAAAATTATATTAAGATATAAAATAATTTCATAAGCATTAAAAGAGTAACTTTCAAGAACTATATTATTACTACACAATTTGGATAATCTACCCAGGTATCATAAAAACGTGATAGCCTGTATGTTTAACCAAGTTTAGGATTATCAGTATTCACTTAAATAATTCATGTTCTCACTCTTCCTTCCCTAGAGTAGGTTGTTGTCAGACTTTCTGAATACTTAGCCTAGTGCGTCTGAAGCTAACCTGGCAAGTAATTGATGCTTTTCCCCTGGGCTTGAGCTATTTTGAGTTTTTGTGGGCTCGAAATTTATTTATTAGGTCTGAAAATTTAAAAAGCATAGAAAACTTGCTCAAAAATATTTCCAGAATTTCTAACTGAAAATTTTTCTCTTAATTTCATCAAAAACTTTAATATAGTTTGTGCTCTTCCTGTTTTCTCCCTTAATATGGTGCCTTTCTTCAGAGTACTGGGGAACCCTTAAGTGACTGATTATCTTTTAGGAAGAGGAAGGACTAGGAAGATGAGATAACGTTAACAAGGGAAGCATTAAAAAATTACTACGGTGGAACTCTTGCAGTGAATAGAGATGAAGACTTCAACCACATCATGAAGTGTGTTTATTTTCAAGGTTCAGAGAGGTTGCAAAGCCCCAAAAATGTGATATCCAATTTAATTAGAATGTATTATAGTGAAGTTTATAATTCTGGGCTTCATTCATTCCTAATATGATTATCGACCTTTTTTTTTTTTTAAAGGCATTGATATCTGGGCTGAAAAAACTATGCTTTTCTGGAATCAGTCTGCAAAGCTGCTGTGTGGTCTTCCACATAAACTGTTGAATAGGTATTATAAAGTAGATACACCT